CTCCAGCAGCCCGGCTGCAGCTTTCAGGTGAGCACAGGGCAAGAGGTGCCGGGGTGACCCCAGGCATCGCCAGACAATGCACTTTGCAACACTGTAGATGGAACATAAGGAATTTTGGTTAGATACTGAGAGAAAACTTGAGTGTATCCAACTGTCTGCAAAATACCTCCAAAGAGAGAGTGTTACACGCCGCTTTTGGCTCAGCCCAGCCTGGATGGAAGGTGCTCATCCAGGTGGGTTTGGGAGCTGTGGAACACTTATCCCAGCGGTGAGAAACCTCATGAGGTCTGTCCTGCCCCCAGCTCTGCTGATGGAGACCCAGCGGCTGCCGAGGGCTGGTGCCTGGCATGCCAGGGCTGTGCCTGACACAGGGCCCAGGGGGAAGGAAACCGGCCAGCAGCAGGGTGTTATTCACGTGTTTCAACCTGCAGGATCAAGAACACGTTATGGGAAGGAATGGAGAGGAACAATCTCGGCAGGTGCTGTGCAGGATGGTGGCATTTGGGAGAGGGCTGGCTGGAGGCATGAAGTGAGTTATGGACGGAGCCGCCGTCGGAGGAGCCGCTCCACGGGCCAGCCGAGGAGCAGGTAGGGCCCAGGTGGGCGCCGAGCGTGGTGGGCTGGGCTCGGCTCACCGGGCAGTTCTCGGGGAAAGGCTGCGTTAGGGTCGGCAGGCCGGGCGGCAGCCGGGCCAGCACAGAGCTCTCCAGCCGGGTAAAACGCGAGCGCTCCCAGCACAGCGCGACACAAGAAAGGAAAGCTCTCCCCGCCCGGTGTCAGAGCGCGACGCAAGAAAGGAAAGCTTTCCCCGCTCGGTGTCAGAGCGCCACCGTCCCAGCGAGGGCAGCGCCGGCCCCGCCCGCGGCCCGAGCCCCCGCCCCGCCGGCCGGGCGGGAGCGGTGCGGAAATGGCGGCAGCACGAGGTGAGGCGGCGGGAGCTGCTGGCGGGGAGGGGAATCCGGCCTTGCTTCGGTGCAGCGGCTTCTCTGCCTGCCCGCGGAGCGTTCGGGTGCCCAAGGGCGGCCGGCGGAGCTCGGGCACGGCCTCCTGCCCGCGCTCGCTCGCAGGGCACGGGAAGGCCCCGCGGCGCGGGGAGCGCGGGCCGTACCGGGGAGCAGGGACTGCCCCGGGGGCCAGCAGGGCCCCATCTCCGTGCGGCCCCGGCGGGTCCCTGTGCGGGGGCGCCGCCGCGGCCTGGCCTGCCCGTTCTTGGTCTCCTGCCCGCGGCTGTCCCCGTAACCCGTGTGTCGCCTCACAGGACCGGCCGCCGTGATGTGCATCCCGCCTGGAAGCCCTCGCCGGGCCGGGCCGGTGAAGGGACGCCTCCCCCTGCATCGGTGTGCCCGGGCCGCAGGTGAGTGCTGCCCGCCCGGACATATCCAGGGCAGCACCGGCAGCGTGGGCCGTCCTGACCCTGGGTTTGGTTTTGTGAAGTAGCCCGAGACTCTGCTTTTGGTTGCTTCTGCCTTTCTGGGTCTGTTTAAGCCGCAGGTTTCCCTCTGCAGAAATCTACTTTTATTCAGCGCCAGCTGTGAGATGAGCACCCTTTTGGCAGAGCGTGCAGCCCCTTACAGCCTTTTGGCAGAGCAGTTCGGGTCTCAGTATTGCTAGTAGAGCAAGTAAAGCTTAAAAGTAAGCTGGGCCTGGACAGCTGAGTCCCAGTGTATACTGGCAACTGAGCACACCAGCATAAACTCATTGGAGAGAAAATTCGACAAAAAGGCTGCGTTGTGTGCTGGGCTGGCCCAGGACTGTGCAGTGGAGTCCCGGTGCTGAGCTGAGCAGGAAGCAGGGCCTCACCTTTTCATGGTGCCCGGTAGATTTCCTGTGCATTGCTAATGAGTAATGTCAGTTCCTGTCGGGAAACAGAGGTGGGCAGTTAAAAAGAGTCAGCAGAGTTTGAGGACAGGAACATGGAATTGCCCTCCTAGCTGAATGGTTAGCCTCTGCAGTCTTCTTTAGGAGAGTGCAGTCAACTCCTGAGACTTTCCCCCGAGTTTTTTTATAGGGATTCATCTGGAGGACTAAGAAAGTGGAGCCAGTGGTATTATATTGACTTCACTGATACTATCCTCCTAAATTAAATGGTGGAAGAACAAGGCCTGCCTGTGAGATAAAGTCAGGACCTACTTCATCTACCCACAAAGTTTTAATGGCAGTGAGAGGGAACAAGTTAAAAGTCATGTGTTTCTGTAGAAAATTATGAACCATATTTCAGGACTGTTGTGTTTTCTCTTGTATTTTTGCTTTGGAAGTTGTCTCGTGTGTTTTTGCTCATAGGCCCATGGGTCCCCGGCTCCAGCACTGGGTGAGGACAGACACTGGACGTGCCTAAGGATTATGGTAACCAGTGTGAAAACTGTGTCTTCAGCTGTAGGTGGTTGGTGTAAACTCTGAGAACTTGTGCAGCCTTGTGAAAGGGCTTCACGTGATGCCCTCCAGTGGCAACAACATGCACAGGTATTTGAAGTCACTGGGAATAGAAGGGAATTGGGAAAAGTGGTTCTTTTGGCCCACTCTGAAGGGGTTTGGGCAGCCCCGGCAAAGTCCCCACTTAGCTGCATGGTTGGGGTTATTCTGGCCTTTAGCAGTTTCTGACATTTCAAGCTCTGCAGGGATGCATGGGTCACTTCTGCACATCAGGGTAGCTTGTGGGGTTCAGGTGGCCAATACCAGAGCTTTAGGCATGAGCTCATGTCCTTCTCAAAAGATGAATTTTGCTCTCTGCCAGTAAATGCACATAGTAGCAAGGAAAAGGAATTAAAATACCAGCAGGTACCATGAAAAATGCATCTTGCAGCACATAATGTCAGAGACAGTGACAACTCATTTTTAACTGACTGTTGCCCTTCTATATGATCTTTTTCAGCCAGAGTTCTGTAGACAGGCCAGAGATAACTGATTTTGCCTCATCTGAGATACCTTTCAATGTGGAAAATTAGTTTCCAGACTGACAGCTCAACACAGCTCTCCAAGTTGAATGATATACCCAGAATGCCAGACACACTTGTTGTTAGCCTGCTCCAGGGCACCGTGCTGGACCTGTTAATGCCCTTTGGCTTCAGTAGGAAACTCGCCTTTCACTGTCAAATACAGCTTCCAGTTCTGTGCAGGGTTTGGCCCTCACTCACAGGCTTAGAGGTGTCCTGGTCTTCTGGTGGGCTTACACAGAGAGATGGGGTTGATGTGAATTTCCAGCTTGGGTGTCATACTGGTCTGATCAACTGTAATGGAAGTGGTGGCTTCTCTATAAAGGATCTATATAGAGGTTCACAGTAACAGCTGGTTTGAAAAAATTCAGGTTGTCCAAGTTTCCTTTGCTGTATAAATATTTAAGTGACAGGGTGGGAATTCCTAAGGAAGGAGAAGCTTTTATTTAACAGAAATATGCAAACCCATTTCCCTTATTGTCTTTAACCTAGTAGCTAATTATTGCTTATTTGTTCTTTTTTCATATAGTTCTGTTGCTGCCTTAGCTGTCCTGTACCACGCCTGGGAGTGACCACTGGAGACATTCTGCTGAGCAGGCTTGTCAGCCATCAGGCCTGCATTCTCCAACAGATTCATTGAGCTGGGAACGTAACAGAGCTATTTGGTACTTGTAGAGTCCCACTGCAAGGGTGTCCTTGCACAGTCCTGCGAGAGGGTTGGCAAATCCTGGGGATTCCCAGTTCATTTCACCAGTTAAAAAGTATGTTGGATTGGGTTTTAGGTGAAAGAGTAATCCTAGTGCCAGGATACAGCTATGGTTTAAACACTTGAGGTGAAAGCTGGTTGTGGGGAGCAGAGTGGTGGGTTTACTGGCAGCCTTTGTGTCTTAAACCTCTATTGGGAGGTTCAGACATCCTCACACCTCTACTCGGATAGCTGCATTTTACACTGTTCCTGGTATCTACTTGGAAAGAAGAGTGGGGCTCTCAGTTTCTGGCAGATACAGGTAAAACATGTTCCAGTGGGTAGAAGCTGGACGCAGAATCAAGGTGTACATTTTTAAGCCAAGAATGGTGCTTTCTCACCAGTTCATTCCCCAGCACAGGAGCTGCTTTCTCTGGTGTGGCCGTGCCAGGATCACGGGGGTGCCTGGCCATCTCCTGCTCTCTGCACTGGCAGGGGTTGCTGGCTGAGTCACGTGTTTCTGGTGAACACAAGTTCCTTTGCTCACTGCCAGACATAGCAACTGAAAGTCTCTGGCCTGCTTACAGGGGGTCTCACAAGGTCACCAAAACAACCCTTTCTGCCCTGGAAATGGCTGAATTCTGGGTAGACTAAAACAACCCTGAACTTGCGTAGCTCAGTGTTGTTAAACCCATCTTCTGAGGCTTGCAAAATAAATACGTATCCAAGAGCAGATGGTCCTAATCACTGCTGTAGTGAGGTATTCTAGTCCTGTTTTTATGGCTTCTGAAGGCCTAAAGCTATTTGGGAAAGAACAGACAAGCTTTTGATACACAGTTCTATGTCAGATCTCTTAGTTTTGCCAGCAGCATTTATTTGTAGAAACCCTGTATATTGTAGAGGCCCTTGCCTGTTCCTGGCTATCCCCTAGAACAGAAACTTGAATCAGTGAGTTTTGTAATGAATATGCAATAAATCTCTGGAAAAGCTTCTCTGTTCGTGACTCTTGATTGAGCTCAGGTAGGTTTGACATACACGGATGAGGCTGTTCAGAGCTGGCCAAGCCTGCGCCTGTCTTGATTGTGTGGTGTCTGGAAATGAAGCCTAAACAAGGACATTTCACCTGAGTGCTGGGCCAGAGTCTTTCCAACCCCGTGGATACCCAAAGCTTCAAGGGCATAGCATTGGGGTGAGAATTCCTCAGTGCTGAGGGGGAGAGGGGAACAGATCTTTGAGCGTGGGGGGAGGATACACCCAAGTGGAGGTGAGCATAGCTAAAAAGAAACAGCTAAAAAGGATGTTTTTGGTTTCTCTTAAAGAGTAATGGAGCACTGCAAAGAGCCTGTTTGTTTTTTCCCTGGATGACTGAATGAGGAACATGGGCATTCTGTAGAAGTGTGTTACATTTGAGACTGTAGTGCATGCTTGGGTGTTTCAGGAAGCCTCACTGGGTATGTAGGCGCTAACAGTTCACACACAAGGGAGGTGTATTTGATTATCTCATGTCACAGACTTCATGTAGCAACAAGAAAACTTGATTGTGAGATCAGCTTCATGGTTGGAGTGTTTTCAGCAGCTGTACACTGTTCATGCCTCTTGCTATTTTTGTTTTTCTTTGAATGTTTGGCTCTTCAGCAGCCTCAGGAGTAGAATTAATGATTGCTCTGGAACTGGGGAGTTCCCTGGGCTTCAGATGGGTATTGGGGTCACCCAAGTGATCACCCAAGGGATCCAGCTGCCACTGCTGCATGGTGACAAGTGTCACCTCGGAGGAGGATGGTATTTATTTCTAAGTGAAGAATTCTGTGATGCTGATGGATCTTGTGACCATAGTGGCTTTCTGCTAAGATCCTTCCTAAGAGGATATAACTTGTAAGGGTTCAGGCCTGGCAGCTGATCTGGGTCAGGGTTGCTTTGCTCTTTTTCTTGGGAAACAGCTGGTTTGTAGGGAGTCTGATAGAACAGTTGATGCTGAAAGAGGGCATTGCTTAGGGCAGATTACATGTGGGTGTGGTAGCTGCAGAACACAGGTTATAGGAGGGCAGTCCAAGGAGGTATTGTAATTCCAGTATGTATCCGTAAGATACCAGGTGTTTCCAGAGCAAAGCAGGGGTGGACATAATGCTGGAAGCATGAGTTGAATGTGTAAAGGTGCTGGGCAATATCTGCATTGAAAAACGACAATCTGCAGTTCTCGTAGTCCAGCAGGATGCCAATCCTTCTAGGGGGAATAGTAATTCTGATGTCTGGTGTCATCCCGCTGTGCAGGAACTCGTACTTGTGCCTGTAGGCAGGAAACACAAAAGACCTGAGGGCACCCTGGCTGCTCTCAGAGGGAAGGACACAGGTGTGTTCCAGGGTATACTTCCTACTTTACAGTCCTGTCCCTCCTGCATGCCCTGTGGTTAGTGCGCAGTGCCATCCACACAGCTGAGCAGCTCTGTTTGCTGGTGGTGGTCCTGTGCTTCCACACAGCTGGATCCCACAGCTCTTGGACCTGCTTATCTTAACCTTGTTTCAGATCCCAGTCTGGCTGTGAATAGACAAGGTCAGAGCACAAAATGGAACTTTCTGGGCTTTTTCCATGCCTTAGAGAGCAGCGTGGGTGTCCCGTAAATCAGAGGGTGCACTCTTGTCCCAAGGTTTAGCTTGAATTTGTCTCTTTCTCTGTGAAGGAGCTGCACTCTTTAGGCCAGTTGGGTTTGCCCCAGAAAGACCCTTATCATCTCCTAAGCCTTGCCCCTGGGAAGCTGTGGGCCCTGCCATGGAGGGAGTGGTGAGGTGACTCAGTCCTGTCCTTCCAGGCACTTCCATGCTGCCCACTTGCTCCCTGAAGGCCTATGGTGCTGAGCCCTCTTTCCTGCTGGTGTTACAGAACTGCTCACGCCCACCTTCACAGCAGCAGCAAAGGACTGTAATCCCTGGGGCAGAGGCTGCCTGACACACAGCATGGCCAAGCATCCTCCAGGCTGCTGGACATCGTTTGTCAATCCCCACTCTCTAAATTGTATTTCTGGCTGCTTTTCCTACAGGACCTCCCTGCTCAGCCAGTGTTCATGGGGAAATTTCAGGCTTTGTGCTCGTTTACTACAGAGTGATTGTGATTCCTGTACTGTGGATTATTGGAGGCCAGGAAGGTACTCTGCACATAAACAGCTTTGTCATGAGGGTAGCCCTCCCCATGTAGTCACTGAGTGTTGCTGAGGTCCCCTAACAGTTACCCAAATAGCTCTAGTGTGGCATGCTGCAAACAAAAATATGATATGTATGAGACGTGCCTTTCTGAGCAGAAATGAGAAGATTTATTCAGCTGAATGGGTTATCTGGCATTTTCTAAGGGCTCCCTCATTCACTAACCACCTCTTCCACCCACACTGCTCAAACCTGAGACAATTTCCCTGCAGAAGTGGGTACAAACTGAGCAATGGCTCAGCTTCCTTTTCTCTCTGGAGTCTGTGCTTATTGCTCCAGAAGAATGACAACAAACCTCAACTACCTCTTCGCTCAAAGTAGCAAGGAAATCCAATTACCCTGCCTGCAGTGTATCATTAGCTGTGGTGGGTTTGACTTTCCTCATTAAAAGCAGCATTTCCTGCTGTGTGGAAGGTAGATGCTGGCACTGCTGAGGATTCTGGTGGTGCAGATGCTGCCCTACTGGGCAGCCCAGAGCAGCGGGTGCTGGGGAGGAGCGAGTGCTCCAGCCAACTGAGTGCATCTAAAACCTCCCTGTACCAGCAGGCAGAGGACAGGCAGATTTGGGCCCCTGCTATTCCATCCTTGCCATTTGCTGAGTGCAGGGTGCTGTCCCATCTGCCTGTCCAGGGGGACCCAGCAGCACCCTGGCTGGCTGGCTGAGCACTGAGCCATCCAGGCAGGCAGCAGGCAATGCTCAGGCATGCCAGGGGGTGGGACTGTTTTCTTGCTCCTGGATGCTTCACAGGGTGCCCAGATCACTCATCAGAGTCATGATGCTAATATAATAGCGTCCAGCAGTGCAGCTGAGGCATGAGGGGAGCTGGCATTTCTGCAGGCAAGTATGACCTACTTACATAGATATAACAGAGATCAAAACCAGTTGGGTACAACTGGTTTTTGCCAGACACATAGTTTCTGGGTTACCTGGGTTACCTCTGTCTTCCAACTGGGGTTTTGGTAACCTTTACTGCTAAATTCTGTAACTCAGATTTTATTCAGATTTGTTCCTGAGACTGCCTATTTCAATGTGAGAATGTCATTAAGCAGCAGGATTTGCTTCAATGTTCCAGAATTTTTCCAAGACCAGTTCAGAGTGCCACTGGCCAAATGTCAAGAGTTTCCCCGTTAAGTGTTTGGTCTGGGCTGATATGAAATCTCTGCTTCTCTGCCTGCAGGTGTACACATAGGAGGTGTTCCTGTAGGAGACTTGAAGCCTCCACAGCCTTACCTTGATGGTGTGATGATATGCCTCATGCACCAGGATGCGTTGTTTGCCCCCAGGTGACCATGTCTTGGAGTGTTCTCAAAAGCCACGCCAGTTCTGTACTCTGTATCTTCCTCAACTTCCACCTCCCAGTAATGCTTTCCTGGAAATGGGATCAGACTGCCCAGGATTGCAATACACCTGTGGGAGACAGACAGGAATATGTGCTTTGGCAGGGCCTCTCTAATGCTCTTTATAGTGTTTAGATATGTTTAGGTATGTATATACCTGGACATTACAGATCAATAAGCAAGAGCCACTTTTGCTGTCTCCTTAGCAGTGCAGTGTGGGTTTTTGACTACAGCAGTTTCCCCATGCTGAGGAACTGACACACAACCTGCAAGTTTCTTTGTGACACTTGTCTTATTTTTATCCATGGGTAAAAAGTGCCCTGGGCACTTTCAGGAATATGGAGAACAGCATCCTGTACTGACTGGGTTTTCTAGGAAAGCTCTTACTTGCTAGAAAAGAGAGTGTTATGGTGAACCCCAGCACAGCAGAGGAAAAAGTTTACATATCTTGCATTTTCTTCCCAAACAGCCTGGGGATTTAAATGTCTCTCACCATTTAGGAACTGAGCAGTGTAACAGCATGAAATTCCTGGGGCAGCTGGGGAGGAGGAGATCTGCCTACACTGTATTTGGAGAGATCAGGAAAAATTGAATGAGGTAGGAGAACTTGAAATATGCTGGGTACCTGGGCCATGAAAAGTTTTTAACAGTGGACTGTGGCTCCTAGCATGTATGATAGGAACCATGTAGAAGATAACTCTTTTAAAAGATGTGTAGGAAAGAAAAAGACAATGTACCACAGAGAGACCCTTCAGATTGATTTTAGTGGTACAGTCTTGGAGTCAAAGGAAATGGGTGCTTGGAAGACGCAAGTCTGCAAAAGCACAGGTAAAATAACCCATGCTAAATGCTTCTGAAACACCCTAACTTGACTTAAGAGGACAATATGAATCCTATAAGAGTGCACCTCAGCCTTTTTCTCTGGAAAAGTACATGGTGTGTTAGCTGTCATTGTCACAGGGGACAGCAGGTTTGGAGCACACACAACCAGTATGTTACTGTTGTAGGGTCTAAAGTTGTAAATTACAAAGGCAAAAGGATGTTGCTGGCAGACACTGAGCTCTTCTGCCTCTAGGTAATGCTGAAAAAGAGCTGCATTCAGCATTTAGAGGGCCTGGTGTGTAAGGATGGGCACACACAGCACAAAAGCATTGCTCTGCCACTGCAGCAGCAGTTGCTTAAAGCAAGTGCACAGTTCATTGCAAGTGCACATAGATGTCTTGGGAATAGCTTAAAGGCTGCTGAAATCAGGACTCAGAGAGATTGTGCTGCTACAGCTTGAGAAGGAAAAGGAATGATGTAAAATGGATGGGTAAAAATCTGTGAACAAAATGACCATAGTAATGAGAGCTATATCTTGGCATGAAAGAGACTTCTGAAAGTTCACAGTGGTACCAAAACCTCAGCCATAGAATGAGATGAGTGCCAGCTCTGGCTGTTTCTGTGAAACATAAAAGCATTCTGTGGAAGTGGGATGAAATCCCATTTAAGCTTATCATGATGACTTTAATGAAGAGAATCATTGTTCTCCCTACTCTTTTCTAGTGAGCCCTCCAGTAACATTGAATTTCCATGGAGAAACTAAGTTTTCGACTTCTATTATCCTGTGTCTACAGATTCCTGTCCTAGTTATGTGCTGTTTCTGTGGTTTTGACTGGAAGCATGAATTTTGGCAAGGTTAGTCTCTCACTTCAATGGTGAAGGGCCTAATTCTTTTTTGAAAGTAAAATCTGTCAGTCCAAATAGTATCAGTTATGTCTTTCAGCAAGAGTTAAGTTTTCAGATCCCTCTCTTTTCCTTAGCATTTTTGGGGGGCCACTTAAAAAATTTAGCTCGATGTGCCAAACATGTAAGCAGGTTTGTGTGTAATTGTGGCTGTTGCATCCATAATCCTCTTTAAGAATTTGCATTAACTTCCAAGTGGTGCTTAAGTTCCAAAGAGCAGCTAGAGAGAGAGATTTCAACTCACAAAATTAATGAGAGCTGCTGAAAGCCCCATTATACATTTCCTGGCATCTGTTAAAAAACCCAAACTGAAGTGCTTCAGTATACCTTGTAAAGCTGTTATCATAGACAGGCAGATCACACTCTGGGTTTTCCAGTTCATCACACGAAATTGTAAATCCATCATCTAGGATTGCCAGTAGAGGATGGGCTGTGTCCTCATTAAGGTAGAAGCAGGTGCCTACAAGAGAAAATGCCTGAGGATAACTCCAGAAATTTCTTATAGCATTAGGATTTCCAGCAAGGGTGTGGTGAAATGTTTTTTGGATCCACAAAAAGATTTACCAGTGCTTTGGAAGGAATCTGTGGCTGACACTGAGAGGACATGATTGTCTATTTGAAGTTATTCTAAGAATTGGTGTTTTACATCATAACAGTGTTTAGTTTCAGCCTTGTGAAAAGCAGGGGGCTTAACCTGGTTTTGTACCCTATGAGGGCTCAGATCTGCAGGCATTGCACAGGAAGTGGCTATTCTAAGATGAGGGGTCCTCCCTGCAATGGACTGTCTGGTTTCAAGTGATTTTCCTCAGACCTGAAGTGATCTGGTTTTAATCACTGAAAGGAGAAAGGGGGTTTAAAGGCCTCACTCTTCCACGTAAATGTGGGGCAAAGTTTGAAGAGAAGGGACTCCCTTGTCAGATCCGCCCCCAGAGGTAAGTCCAGCCCAGGGTAAAAGTGCTTCTGCCTTTCCCCCTGCGGAGACTTCCCAAAGCTGGTCTGACACTGCGCTCGGATGAGCAGCCACGTGCATCACAGCTGCTGTTTGTAGTTGGTGCTTGTGTATCCACCCCAGAAAGGGACAAAGGTCATTCACACTGTTGGAGGTGGGTTCTTTTAGTTGACAGATCAATTTGCATCAGCTGTTTGCATAATGTAGACTCAGAGAAGATAAATCTCTCCATGCTAATCCCAAATGAAATCATTATAATCAAACTGCAAGTTCCTTCAATGCAAATACAATACAAACAATGACAGGGCAATTACAGGCATGTGCTGCTGAAAACAAACACATGCTGTGCAAACAGAATGGGCAATTTCAAATATTGAGTTTGGTTTAAGCAGTTGGAATACACACAAATGATGGCAACACAATGACAGCCTTCCTCTCTAGGGATTTGCGGGTGAGCATTTCTCTTCTGTGGTGTCACTGATGTGTAGCAGACAGGGTTTTTACTGAAACATAACCTTTCAGTTATTGGCTGTGTGGTCAGCTACCTGAATAAATACAATTTGCATATCTCTCACAGCAGGTAAGGGCAAGGTGTGAATACATCTGTGAGTGATGTGGGAGGTTTGAGACAAACCAGTAAAGTTGCAGTGTCATTTCAGCAGTGATGAAGGTGAAAACAGGTGTGTGCCTCTAAGTCATCAAAATGAGCTTTAATTAGATGTTTGGGAGGGGAAAGGGCTTCCAACTTCCCTTTGGGGTAGGTTAATCCTTGCCAAATGTGGTACTGGGAGCAGATGATAATGCAGTGTCAGGTGCCAAAAGCAAAGCTTCCAGCTGAAAGCTGGACTGCTTTTTTCCTGATAAATAAAAAGAACCAGCCCTTGGAGCTTCCCCAGCCAAGCTGGAGACGTTCTAATGAATGCAGAGAAAGATTTTGCATATCCAAATGACTCTGGAAAGTGCTGTCTCAGCCATACTTTCCAACAGTAGCATCATTACAAGGAAATCTCTGAAGTAAAATCACACTACCACTTTTCTCATTGGTGTGTCAGTACTTGGCAAGCTGGCAATATCTGGGGGCATTGGGTTGATACTGTCTTTTAAAATGTTTAGAAATTAGTAACTTTCAAGTATCAAATGTGCTGGACAGAAATATTTTTTAAATTGCAGAGCTAAAGCAATGAACTTATTGTTACAAAAAGGTGGTTTTTTCATTCCTCAAAGGTTACCAGGTGTGTCTAACTACATGTAGGAGATTAGAACCTGATCCAGAGGCCATTGACACCAGCAGGAATCTTTCTGTTAAGATAATAGATGCAATAATAGGCTGCTGGCATTGTTCTGAGCTGTACATTACCTGTGGTGTGTATCAGGACAGGTTCACTTCTTTCACTGGAGCCACCCAGGTTTTGGGCTCTAACACAGATGTGATACCTTTGTGTTGGCTGGAGGTGAATTAGGACTTCACAGTTAGGAATCCCAACAATAGATCTACAGAAAATAAATCCATGGAAAATGATAGGGTAGAAAACAAAGGTAGGCCTTTGAGATTATTTTCCTGAACAACAAAGAAGAAATTATATGATCAGCTTCTTTTGTAACCCATCAACACTCCACTTGTATAGTTGCAGGGGCAAGAGAGTCTGTGACAGACTGTGCAGGTACTTCTGCTCTATTCCCATACCATTGCCCATTCCTGTATAGTAATTTTTTATTAACATTTATACAATTGATTTTACTAAGAGGAATGTTTATAAAGGGAAATTCACCAAAGGGTCATGGGACTCAAAAAAACAGTCACTCACTCGGTAATAATATCATCGTTTTCTTCATCTGTCAGCTTGTACAATTCAACTGTGTAGGAATCAACAGGGTTAATGTCTCCAGATTCCCAGCACACCAGTGCTGCATTTTCACAGCTTTGGATCTTTTTACTCTTTATGATAGGTGGTGAAGGAGCTAAAAGGTAGCAAAAGAACAATTCTAAGTTGTTACTTGAAGAAGTTTGCCACAAACATGCTTTGAAGACTTAAAAAGATAGAGCAAAGTTGTTTACTAATACTATATAGTTAAAGAAACCTGCTTTCCAATAGACAATAAACAGCAGACAGGGCAATTAACAATAGCATTTAAATACTTAATTTGGACTATAAAGATTGCAAGAGCATTACACAGAGAATTAACATAGAGAATAATTACACAACAGTTTCCTTTTATCGTTAGTTTTATCTTTGTCATAAAGGTGCATCTCTTCTCTGCTCTAAGATGTCAAACACATCTGGAACCAGTACTTGAAGTTCTTACTCTGTCTTGCTCGATCTGATGTCAGGATTTCACACAATGTGTTTTGACTGAACTGCTATTACAAAGGACAGCATAGCAGTGTGAATCCACAAAATACCTATAGGCCAATAAAAGAAGAGCTGACATCCATCTGGCAGAACTGGGAGACTTGAGTCTTACTGGCAGGTGGTCTACATCCTTGCATTTAAATAAGTTATGTTGTCTCTCTGCTTCTCTTTCTTCCACTCTAAAACAGGGACAACTGGCCTGATACCCTGTCCAAATAAAAGTAGGGAATTCCCATGCAGTCAGTAGGCTTACATCAGAAGAAACAAAGTGCCCAAAAAGCATTATTGCCATAAAATTAGAGATAACTGTGAATTTCACTACAAAGGTCCTGTAGTCGTATGAATAAAATGTCTTTACCTGTTACATAAACTGCTCTTTCACTTGGTGGACTGATACCAGAGGCATTTAAAGCACTGACCCAAAATTCATACTGTGTGTTCGGCAACAGATTAGTAATGGTGCAGTATGTTTCTTTGACTTTTAGGGTATTCTCTGAAATGAGAACAACAAAGCATTTACAGTGCTCTTTTACACAGTTACCCACTCTTCCCCAAAACTGCCTCAAAGAGTGGACTTGAGGCACATTATTTTGTGTGCTGAGTTCAAGAGAGCTCCTTGTGCTCCACACCCTTTGATTAGCTGTCAGGCAGTTTCACCATGCCTTCCTCTAAAGAGGCATAAATCAGATAACACATCAGCTTCTGAAGAAGCTACATCACTCAGAAACCAAAATCCAGACAGAAAGATCACCCACTTGTCACTAATTTTTTTTTCTAAAAAGATCCTGCAGGTTCCTACTGCAGGGATGCTGCTCAACTCATCCCAGCAGAGGGACAAGAGCTGAAGGTATTTTACTACCCATTTCTCATTCCACATCTTAGAAAATTTGCATAGGTTATGCTTTTCTTTCTGAACTAACCAGTAGTACTCCACTGGCTTCCACTTTGGCAGGTTCTGCAAGAATATTATTAGCAAAGGCAGCTTAATCACAAGAGTGGGACATTTTAGGATGTGGTTCTTTTTTTTTGGTGCATGTGCATCATAGGGAGTTACAGCCTATTATTAGCACTGAGATAAACTGTAAAATCACTGAGGGGATTTCAGCGGGTGTGCCGATAATATGATGATTTGGTCTCCAAAAATACTGTGCTTTACACTGGATGCAGCACATGTGTGCCTAATGCAGTGCCCACCCTCCAGGAAAGGAAATGCTACTCCTGAGACCTGACTCCATCCACTGTCCCCTTCCCATTCCTGCTATCCCTGCCGCTCCCCTATCCTGTCTTTGCTCATGTAATGGCTCCTGCTGCAGCCAGCAGCATGGCAGACCTGGCAGGGGAAGAGGGACAAAGCCAGAAGGAAATGTAGTGGCAGATACGACAGTTTTGGTGACAAAGAGAGTGCACAGAAAGTGCACTGGTTGCCACATTAAGTCCAGAAGTATTTTGGAACCGGCTGATTTTGCCCCCTTGGGTCCAGGCCTTCTTACCTGCCTGCTCATCACTGTGCCTCTCGTTGCTCACTGGTTTATAGCACAGTTGGTAGCTCTCCACAGTGTCATCCGAGAAGAGGCCCCAGCAAACTCTCAGTGAGGTGCCAGTTGCTGCATTTGGAGCCTGGGGATTGATCATAGGGGCACAAGGAGCTGCAGAGGGGAAAACAGGTCAGTTTTTGAATATATAAGCACAGTATGTTGTCCCTCTCCTCTCACAAAGGTGTTTGCACAAAGTCTTGGCACTGAATGGGGTCATATTCCTCCCACATGGAGAAAAGTCAGGAGCTGACTCTGTGAACAGTTGCAGATAATAATCAGGTCACTGGTGTATGAGAACTAGTCTTGCTCCAAATCAAAATGAAAACAACAAAATAAATAAGCCTCAGCCCACCCCTTCTCTGTAAACTCGACCTCCCCTGCTCTGGGGGCTGGGCTTCACCACTGAGCAACATCTGCCAAGCCTGCACTGCTGTGACCACCCCGGGGCTCGGAGCCGCTGGAGGGGATGGGGGAAGAGCTGTACAACAGGGGGTCAGCAGCACAAGCAGGCGAGTAACAAATTCTAATTTACTTTAAGGAAATCACAGTACTTGTGCATAAAAACTGCTCTTTCTGACCATTTGTGGTGCCATTTTAATTTTTTTTTTTTTTTCAGTTATTAGAACTTTGTGTTTTGCTCTGTTTCCTCTGGTTAATAGGAAAAAAGTTTGCTAAATAGCAGAGGAACAAGCCACTGAAATCTGGTTATCAAGAGAAGCTGTGCAGGTAATTTAAAGCAGTCTGGTGTTCCTCTCTATTTCTTTCAAGCAACTACAAGGTAAGACACGTTATCACCAACTGAGGATGCCTAACCCCTCAATAGAAGGGGGTAATCTTTGTAAGTCTTCTAGGAAATCATCCAGCAAAAGCAGAGAAGGCCAAACTTAGCAGTTCTGGTAATTTTATACTGAAAACAAATGAAAAAAAAATAATATCCGAAAATATCTGCCAGTGTTTCTGTATATAGATGCAAACAAAAAAAAAACACCCTAGAATAACAAATAGGGAGAAGCTAATCTTGCCTTTGCTGTTCTCCTTTAAAAGAAGTAATGGATTTCTGTTCAATACATATCCTTAATTAAATGTAAATAGGTCTGAAAGAATAATCAGATAGGAAGAGTACCTGGAATAGCATTAATGGAGTTCATGAGTTGTTCAACTTCAGAGAAATCTATGACCCTCTCTTCAAAGTCTGGCAGTGTTGAAAGTTCTAAATTGACTTCTTGCTTTAAGAATTCTTGCAGCCTGTAGTTGTAGGGAAAAAAATTACATTTCTAATTGGAAGTACCATAGTGTTGGAGATACCTATTTGTAAGAGACAAAGAATAGCACACTGCAAATTAACATGTATTTCATTAAAATTTTGTTTTCATAGTTGTACAAAGCCCCCCATGCCCGTTGCTTGGAGATATGTTGGATCAGTGCCCCAAGATGCCAAACAGCTGGATGCTGATGGGACTGAGGGACCTCCTTTGTGTGCCCCCCCATGAGTGAGCTGGCTGCTGCACACTGTACTGCCTCTGAGCAGGGGCGTGAGATTTCCCCCACCTCTCTGTGCAAGGCAACCTATCACCTCCATAATTTTCATTATTTTGAATTTACAACACTATTTCAGGACCTTGTGGCTCTAGGTGTCATAAATTTCAAAAAAAGGGTATCTTTTCTCTGTGTTTATGTTAACAATTACAGTCAGTTAGAAGAGGTGGGTTTTTTGCAATTGGTTTAGTGTGCCTTAAGACTTCTTCCAACTGCTCCAAGATCTTTCAGTATCTGTTTTTGAGTTCCCACAGCTTGACTTTCTACCCTTCTATATTGATGCATAAATAAGCCAGTTATAATCTATTTAGGGAGCTCAGTTTTAGACCCATTTGTATCCAGAGCATTTGTTTTGAGATCTTTAGCAATCCTGTTGCTCAGTCAGTGAAATTAGTTCCTTATTACTAAGATGAAAACAGAGGCTCTAACTCCCCTTTTGGGTCTTCCTGAAATTGAATCTAAACTAGTTTTGCCTGTTAAACTTCTTAGAGCAGCTTTTCCTTATGCAGTTTAAAACAAAAATACTGAATGTTTCAGTATCTCTAGTGGCCTAGACAACATTTGTGTGCCTGAACAAAGTCCAGAACATGCGAGTGTCTCCGATAACCAGTCCATTTAACAGGAAAAAATGTGACACAAAATCCCAGATTGTGATACTACCTGTCAACCATGGTTACTGCCGCCTGTAGAAAAAGAGAGAGAGAGAGTGTTAAAGATAGAAAAGTCCAGAGTCAGACTACATCATGCTGTTGACCTGTCTTACATAAATTGCCCCAAATGCAGCCTTTGGAGTGACATAATTGGCTGCCACCCAGATCTGAGAATGAAGTCCTGCCTAACTTTCCATTCAAAGGGACAGATCTTGGCTCAATTTACAGTAGAATAAAGTGCAATGTCAGGCAGTGACCAACTAGATTCTAGGCTGATTCCTTCCTAAGTTGTCTGAAGTGCCAAGAGATTCTTCACAAACAAAACCTAAGAACAATTGGGGAAAAGAACTGAGTGAAATGATCTGCACCAGAGGGAATATGAGCAGTGCACATAACTGGAAGGCAGATGTACGGTCCCTGGAGAAACCTAAGCAGCTGAGAGCTCGTGACCAACAGGTATTCACTTGGTGAATAATAGTTCTTAGGGGTGATGTAGAACTGTTTACAAGCTAAGGAGAAAATAAGATTATTCCAGGGATGCAAAGGAATGGGAAAAGTCAGCTCATGAGAAGAACTCAGCAGGTTGGAGCACCACAGCAAACCGATCCACTGGAGCAGACTGGAGGTGTTTAGGAGATTTGTTTGTCGTCCAGTTCAGAAGTTACTGTGGCTGTGCTACAGAAATGCTCCCACCCACCTGAGTCACAGAACAGCTCAGGTTAGAGCAATCACTCATCAGCATTGAAAATTCTCCTTTTTTCCCAATTATTTTTCTACCCGCCAAAGCAAAATGACTTCTTGACACCACCTCAAGGGAGGGATGCATCCATCACTTTGCAGCAGCTCCTGATGTATTTAGTTTGGAGCCTCCTGTTCAGCTGAACTTTCCAACAAAATGAGCAAGAAAAAGAAACATTCTCCAAAGTGATTGCATCAGCCTGCCTGCTGTGAGCCCAGAATAGAGCAAGAGAGCTGAGCCTGCAAGAGGCAATGAACACTAAGTGCTTCCAGAGTTTCCCGAGATAAGCATTTTAGGGAAATACCTTCCCTCTGAACCCCAGCATGACTCACAAATCAATAAGCATCCAAATTACAAACTTCTGCTTCTGCATTTTGCCCCACTTTTGTTGCCCTACTAAGTTGATGCCCCATGCCAAGCACCTGGAGCACTGACAGCAGCATGGACTGAGCACCCCAAATGCTCTCCAGAATAAAGCCACTTGGGACTTCCCAGCTGGGCACTACTTGCAAGCAGCAAGAAGCACTTATAAGGGGCCTCAACAGTGAAAGCTCTTTACCTTCATAAATTCAGCTTTGTCACTTTCCAGGAAAAGTTCATGGGTTTTGTCTGTCAGTTCCTTGCAGGTGTCGAGATGTTTCCCAGAACTGACCAGCTGCTCATACAGAGCTTCCAGCTTCTGCCTCTTCTCTTCTCCCAATGCTTCCAGCTGTTCTTCGTACTTCTGAGCAAGCAGTTGTACTGCATCGTTGTAATGCACCTCGAAGTTCTGCTCCTGCTTCCCAAAGTTTTCCTGCAAGGCATTTGGGGGTTTGTACTTTGGCATCAAGCCTGGATCCTTCAGTCATCCAGAAAAAGCTCCAGTCTGCTTAAAATTCTTCTTACCAGGGAGGCAATGTCGTGATTTAATTCACAAAGCCAGGACACAGTGCCAGTACACAGAAGATGCAATTTGACTAATTTGCATTTTTAGGAGTCTATTCTGATCATTCACCCGGACTAAGGCACAAAAGAATGTTGGATTTCGTTCCAAACATAAGAGCAACAGAAGTCATAAAGAAAAAGTAAGATGCAAGGCAACCTAAGCCCAGGGAGCACAGCTAGGTTATATCCTAGCCATAATCTCACGAGCATTTCAACCAACAAGCACATCCTTCCATGAGAGAAACCATGGCAACCCAGTGGGATCCATGGGGGAGCTGAGAAGCTAATGCCAGTATCCTTGCTCACTGCTGTAGAAAGCATTAGGAAGGAAGATTTAAGGAGCAGGCAAGGCTTTATTGCCAGCAGTCACCCACTGCTCGGGCTGCAATGTCCTCCTGTGCCATATGGAGCAGAGAAAAGACCATGGGTGCCTTGAGTCATTGCTTGGGTTTGACTTGCTGCCTGCTGACCCCCTTCCCCTGGGGCCAAGCTGACAGCAGCAGAGCAGGAGCACAACCCTTGAAGTCATCAGCTTGATGCAGCTGGTTCAGGAGTTTGCCTGTATCTGACACTTGTGTGAATGAAACCGAGGGAACATAAGGGGTGCACTCAGGATGGACTAGTTAGATCACAGGTCTTTGGCCATTTGAAACTAAGATAACTGCCGGGGGAGGGGGGCGAGAGGGGGAAGGGGGGCACTTTATTTCAGAATGCAAATTTCTGTGCAAATGCTAAATATGGTTTTATTAGTCCACATAAAGAATTAATTAGGATTAGTTTTCCTGAGTACTTCAGTCTAGGCAAACCCCAAGGTAACTCTGTGCTCTGTTACTATAATTACTCACTTCATTAACAACTGAACACTATGAGTGTCAGTATGACTGTCAAAATTGTTTAACACCAGTACCATAAAGTTAGCCCAAGAAAAAATGCCTTACCTCTACAGTGAGGAAGATTTCCTCCAAATGACTGGCAATATTTTCCATCTGAGCAATCTGTTCTTCTAACTTGCACATGTTTTTATGAATCTCTTCCTACAAAACACACAGTGTGATTCTTATTATGTCTGAATACTGTTTTAGAGGCACCCCAGTTCACCTGTATTACTCTCACCTTTTCACTTTCCAAGGCACTGGGCAGCTGAGTCACTTCATGATCCTTGTGCTCACCGAATAGTTTGTCAAAAGCTCGGATTGGTATCTTGCAGGTAGAACAAAAAACATTTGCCACTTCCTCCTCTTCCTCCTTCTCCTGCTCCTCACTGACAGCCTGACTGTTCCACTCATCTGACACGCCGCCACTGCTAAGCCCCTCTCTGGACCATATGTTGCTCTCAGCCTCATCATCTGCTCTGGTTTTGCTCTGATCTTCATCTTGAGAAGCCTCACCAGGAAGTCCTTGTTGCTTTGTGCTTTGACTTTGATCTTTCACTGAAGTGCTGCTTTTTGATGCGTTATATATGGAGCGTTGTGATCCTGCTTTTTGTGTGCGAGCAGGTGGCCATCTGCTCTCCATCTCCACACGTCCTCCAAGAAGCTCAAGCTCTTTTTCTCTATCCTCATCAAGTCCATACATCTTAGCCAACTCTGCAACCTCCTTTTCCATGTCATAGCCAATTTCTTGTGAGTGCTGAACTTTTTCACTACTCAATACAGATTCCCTTCTTGTATCCCCCAGAGATCTGTCTCCTCGACCAGGCAGCTCTTCAGGAAAGATATCAAACCTCTCCTTTGATCCATAAAGATCCATGTGATAAAATATCAAACCTTCAGTCTCAGTCTCACTGGACTCTGGGACTGGTGGGGAAGCTGAATGGCTCTGTGACTGGCCACTACTTTCATACTCTCTCGTGCTGCCAGACCCGGATGACATTGGTATCCTCAGCAAGGCTTTTGGGATGTTGAGTCTCAATCTTGTAAAAGATAAGAAAGATCTTTAGCTACATACTTAGATATGAAGCATGAGTTTTTCTTGCTTAAAAATATATAGATGGCTTTGGCTGAGGACTGCCCAGGTCCTGGAGGTAGGCATGGGAAAGACCACAGCCAGTAGCTTCACTTCCTGAGTGAACCTTCTGAAGGGAAGCCATGGGAGGCTTGTTTTTTTCTCACCTCTGTGCAAAGCAGAGCAAAGAGCTGTCTCTGTGTGCATCCTGTTTTCTGATGGCTCATCTGTGAGCCTGATGTCTGATTTCCAAACTATGGACTATCCCTGTCCTCAGCTCAACACTTCAGCTGTGCTTCAGGCACAATTACTGCTGTTCTGTGCTATTGGAAATGGCCTGGTTTGAAGTCTGCTCACCCTTCAGCTGCTGTCGAGAGTGTTTTCTGAACTGTCAGTCAGGCATAATGTAGAACGTCCTCTCTTGTGACCAGTGATGCCACATAACACACTAGAAAATGCCTTAAAAAAATCCTGTTCTGGATTTTTCAAGTTGCCATTCTTAATACTGAGGTCTTGAGTCTTTTCTTTAAAATACTGCAGGGAAAACATAGTGCCCTTTGGGGGTGTTCATAGTTCTAAGATGCTGTGGAAAATATATATTTTAACATAAAAGAAGCTCAGAAAAAAGATCAGTGATGATCTCCATTATAACGCACACAATAGCTAGGGAGCAAGGCAGGTCATTGACCTGTGAGCTGAGAAATGTCTGCTCTGGCATGGACCTTGCACATTTTGTCCATTCTGTGCAGTGAGGTAAGTGTGAAAAGAGCATGTGAAGGTGACATAATATGGTAGCTGTATGATAAAGCATATCCCAGATGCACGTGGGACAACACTAAGGTGCAAAGGCAATTTTAATGCTGACTCCCCAAGCCCACTCTTCTCAACCAGCCCGCATTAACAACAGCAATGAAATAATGCCAGTACAGAGTCATCTCTGTCAGAGCTGAAACCTTCCCAAAGCTTTCCACTGCTCACCAGCATGAATGAAATCATGGCTACAAAACTACTCAGATCAGTTTTATCAGCGGTTTACTACCACAGGCAGAGGAGTTCATGGACAGATTTCAGCTGAATATTACTGAACCTGTAGTTACATCTAGTACTAGGGAAGTGAAGCATATGAAAGCTTTAAAACCACTTCCTTGCAGAAAAAAAAAAAAAAAAAAAAAGCAGCCAAAATATCAGTCTGACATCAGTGTTATCAGAGTTTCTGGATAAGCTTTCACACAAGTTTGCTTTCAAACTACTATTTATGGTCTTTTTAGTTTTGAGTAGTTGCTATTACCTGAAATTTATTTCATCAATATTTTACTAATTTTCCTGAGGATTACTTAGCTAACAAAGTTAATCCAGTCACTGACTTATTAGAAAACAACTTCTTGAACTAGTGAAAAATAATAAGAAACTTTGCACTCTCTGAATTTATATCCCTGACTGAGTCCAGCCTTACAGATCTCCAAGAAAACCCACATAGAAGTTCACCGTTTGTATTCTGGCACTGCAGACAGAGTTGTGGATTCTACAGCTATAGCAATATCCTACTATAGACAAAAACACAGAAGTTAGGCAGAAATACCATTTATGCTAAAGGCAATAAAATAAATCATGCAAATTCTAACATGCTAACAGAGAAAAGGTCTTGACACATACCAGAAAATGTTGTCTGGCTCCCACAAAGACTTTTTCCCCCATAATTATAACAGTAAGACTTGCTTTAGGAGCTACTACTAATTAGAAAAGTGAATTAACATGTTTTTTTCCTACCAAAATGAAATAAAATAAATAAATTAAAATGAGCATAATTGAGTTTGTCTGGATGCCTGCTGCCTAAATAAGATTTTCAGATGATTGCTCAGTGTTTGCTCAGTTTACAGGCACAGATACAATTACACGAAGCATGTTTAAGTCCGTGACCGTCAATTATCGTAAATACATAACAAAGAATGTTACTACCTAAAAACTTGCCTTCTATCTTAAGACGTCATAAATTCTTCTGATAGCTCAGATGGCATCAAAGTTCACTTCTATTTCCCCTAGTAAAAATCAATTCACACGAAAGCAATTCCTTGCCACTTTCCTATGACTGCAGTTGGAAGATGCATGGCAGTAACCCTAGCCTGCCTCTTTGCTCCGATAGGGACATGCCAGCAATGAGCAATGGCACAAATATAGATGTGCCCCGGCTGTCCTTCAGCAGCGTGCTACTTGAGTGTCACCAGGATGAATGTCATACCCCGAGAAAAGGCTCCGAAGGTTGATTCCTGGATCTGAAGTACTTAGAATGGTTATAGAGAGCCCTCACTAAAGCCAGAGCACCCTCTCACTTTCGAAGGTGGTATTAATAAACCCTGCAGAGTGCAGTCATTGCCTCTGGGTGTGATTTCCAAGGCTGGGGTGTTAGGCAGACTATCATGTGTGGGATACACAAAACCTGCATCCAGCACAAACTAACTCATGTGGCTGGACACATGCTTACAGCATTGCTGCACAACTACATGGGAGTATCTGTTCTGTTCTCTGCAAACAGTTACTGGCAAAGCCCTCTCTATTAAACTGGCAGAAGCTTTACTATGGGGTTGAGTTGGAATCATGATCATATACTAGAAAAATATATTAAAATTCAGAATTTAGGAAAAAGAATAGAAATCATACTGTTGCTTATTATACATACACATACATCCCCGCCCTCTGTGTATGCCAGACCTCTGGAAAGCTAATTATAGTGAAGAAAGTGGCCAGTGGGTATTCATAAAACATGTCCCTTCAATCTACACTGAGTAGAGGTCCACATGATAAAAAATCCAGGCTGCGTATTACCACTGATTATTGATTGCTGTAGCACTTGAGCTTTGTGTATCTGCTCAAACCCACACACAGTCTGCTGCTTGTGAATACGCTACTGAGCCAGCCTTGCTGGCAGGAGGTTTTTAAGCACGTTTGAGAACATTGCATTATATATGTCTTGGGCTCAGGAGACAGCACAAGGGGAAATGTCTATTGAATCTTGTCACAGCTCTGCTTTTTTCTCCTTTTCCAATTAAACTTGGTGTCATTTTCTTGCATTCCTAGCAGTGCCATTGTTTGCTGTTTGATAAGGAATCACAAGTTAATTGCCCATGTAGGCACGATCTCATTACCACTAACAGCATCTCTATCATCTGCAAGATCAGAGCAGAGATGTTTTCACATAAATGATGCAGCCTATGCCAAAATGTTAACATTTATGCTGTCTGACATTTTATTAATTTTTCAAATGAGAACTTATTTTTTGCTTTGTACTACACTGCACTATCTTACAGGCCTTAATTAATTGAAAAATTAGCAGTGTCAAAGACTGGAACATAACATTCTGTGTGCCATGAATTGCATTCAGGCTTGCACACAGGGCCTGAATAAGGGAGAGGTGACATATAAAGACTTTGCTCTCCTCAGCAGCCCCTGAGACAGTGTTTGGGGGATATTTATACACAGTGTGGCAACCTCAGGGCTGAGTTGGATGTCGGGGCAAATGGGCACAGGGCATTGTGGGGAAGAAGCATGGGATTTCACCTGCCTTCGGACATGGCAAGGACTCATGGAGTTTCTCCGTGACCACAGGAATCTTGGGAAGGAGGAGAACCTCCCGCAGCCTGGACTATCCCTCAGGCAGCGGCACAAACCGGGGGATGCTGTTCCTTCCCAAAGGACTCTGTGTCCCCTGCTCCCTCCCCGCCACTCCTCGCAGAAATAGCTGCTTATTTCACAAAAATTTTCCATTCTAGTGCCTGAAGGGAGAACTTACAGGAACGATAGGGCAAGACTATTTACAAGACCATGTAGTGACAGGACACGGATCACAAAATCAATCAGATTGGAAAAAACCTCTGAGTTCATCGAATCCAACCTATGACCTTGTCAACTGGACCATTGCACCAAGTGCCACATCCAGTCTCCTCTTAAATACCTCCAGGGATGGTGACTCTACCACCTCCCTGGGCAGTCCATTCCAATATCCTCTCTCTGTAAGGAACTTCTTCCTAATGTCTCACCTAAACCTCCCCTGGCACTGCTTAAGACTGTGCCCTCTTGTCCTGACAGAATCGCAGAAGACAAGGGAGAATGGCTTCAAACTGAAAGAGAGTAGGCTTAGATCAGATACTAGGAAGAGTTTCTTGGCTGAGGGTGGGGGCTGTGAGGCGCTGGCACAGGTTGCCCAGTGAAGTATTGAATCCTGGAGGTGTTCAAGGCCAGGTTGGATGGGGCTCTGAGCCACCTGATGTAGCTGAAGGTTGCCCACGGCACGGGGGTTGGAACGAGGCGATCTTCAACCTCCCCTTCCAATCGAAACCATCCCACGACTCTACGAAGAACGACCCTTCCCGGAGCCGCCCCTCCCGCTCCTTTTCCCATCTATTTTCCACGCACGCTGAGGGGGCCGCCCTGGCTCCGCCCCCTGGCCCCGCCCGCCAATGGGCGCGCGAGCAGCCGCTGACGCCACGCGCGGCCCCGCCCCGCCCGCCGCCGGTTTCTGTTTCGGTCCGGGCCCGCACGGGCGCTGTCGCCGCTGTCGCGATGGAGCCGCAGCCCGACAGCCTCGAGGGGTGGGTGGCCGTGCGCGACACCGCCTTCGCCGAGCCCCAGCCGCCGCCGCGCCTCCGCTTCCTCGTGGGCTGGAACGGCGCGGAGGGCGCGTTCGCCGTGACCTGCCACGGGCGGGCGGAGGCGGCGGCGCAGGCCCCGCAGAGCTGGGCCGGGCTGTTCTCGGCGCCGGCCCTGCGCGGCGTCCACCGGCAGCTGTCGGCCCTGTGCCCGCGCCTCGAGCCCGCCTTCCCCGCGCTGCCCCCCGCGCTGCCCGGCGCGGCCGCGGGCGGGCTCTGGGCCGTGCTGTTCCCCGGCGGCGCCGCGCCGGGCGAGGCCGAGCTGCAGGAGCTGTGCCGGGCGCTGGAGCTGTACCTGGGCTGGGCCCTGGAGCTCTGCGGCAGCCGCGTGGTGCTGGACGCGCTGTTCGCCGCCGACCGCCGCTGCGACGACGAGTACTTCGAGAGCCTCCAGGAGCTGCGCGGGAGGGCCCTGCGCGGCCACCTGGCCCGGGCCAAGGAGGCCCTGCGGCGGGTACGGGCCCCGGGGCCGGGCGGGGGCGGAGGGGCCGGGGCTCGGGGCTGTCCCCCAGGGGTGCCGGGTGAAGGTGCTGCCGGGCCCCCCTGCAGGTCCCCACGCTGTAGGAGCACGTTCGCTGTTTGATGCTGCAGCTCACCCTCTCTCGCCTGGGAGGTGCACGGTGAGCGTGGCAGCCGCTGCTGCGGCAGCTTCAGACGCTCGGGGCAGACACTTTTGCAAGACTCATGTGAGCAAGGGCGACCGAGCCGCTGAGATCGCCTTGCTCGTAGTGTTGTCCAATGTCCACATTTGTGCTTACACAAACACTTTTTTTTATTTGCCTGGGACCCACCAAGTCAACTTTCTCAAGTACAAAGTGTCGTCAGTTTTGTAAGTGCAACTTAATATTAAGTGGGGAATAAGTCAGCTCCAGGTGGGCAGTCAATATAAGAACACTGAGGCATTTACTTAAGCTGTAAGCACTCCTACAAAAACACATTGCTAAAACACCCAGCAGTGTTGTGCAATGAACAGTAACCGAAGAGGAGAGTACAATCATGTGCTAATTTTCTAAGTCAGGTTTATTTATAAAAACCCTAGTCCTATGCCAAATAACTGTTTTGTAGTCAGAGAAATTGTGGGTTTTTTTTTTTAAATATCAAATTCTACCCTAATGATTGATGAAATAATGAAATAATGATGATGTTAGCCCCTTCTTCCTTTAGTACCTTAAGTTTCTTGTTATAGATGTATTCCTGGAATTTTTTTTCCCCTCGTTGTAAGGATGAATTCAAAGGATGGTGTCTGGTAACACAGTTGCAGAATGTTAGAACAGGAGTTACAGATAAGTTCAAGCTCACCAGTGTGTTGCTGCTAAAGTTTCCTTGCAGTACCTGTTTGCAGTCTGTTTTCCGGCAAAGTAAGCTGAACGGTATTTTATGAAAGCGATCAGGCTTTGGAGGGAAGTTAAGACAGTTGACTTTAGCCTTCTGTTTCCTATTGCAGTGTTTAACAGCTGTAACAACATTCCCGTTTCAGAAAGACACTGTTTTTAAAAAGACAACTTTAGTTTACATGAACGTGTACTGTGTTGTATACAAAAGTCAGTGTCTGTCACTGACTGTAACAGTTCACAGCCCACCTACAGACACATTCCAGCCACCACACTCTTTTGCAAGCAGCACAAATATGTACAGTTGTGTGGCAGTTTGGGGCTTGGGGATCAAGTACAGCTTGGTGCCAGTTATTTTACTTTTTCCAGCTACATTTTAGATATGGCTAAAGGTGCTATAGAGTGGTGTTGTACGTGCAGGCCTAACGGGGACATAAGTTCATTATATTTCATTCTAAGTTATGCAAGATTCAAGAAATAGCCACTAACCTGGCCTTGAGTACCAGAGCATCCTTCTCCCCTCTTTGTGTCCATGTCCTTCTCAAATACTTCATCCTGTGGGCCAGGAAATTAATTTTGGAGAATGTAAAAGGTACTGGTACAGGATGGAGAAGAGTAGTATTGCGTAAATACTTCTTGTGTTGTGTGTTCAAGGAAAAAAACACAAGAACTTTACTGTTGCAACAATCGAAGAAGTCAGTTGGGCTGATGGTGAACTGGAATTCTATGAAAAGAGTATGAGACTGTGTTAAAGCAGGGATTTTGCCTTAAAACAGGCCAAATGATAGACACAATACACCACCCCTTCAAAAAAAAACCCCGAAAACACCCAAACAAAAAAAGCGCAAACCCTTGTAAATGAATAATTGTCTCATGAGATGACTTTAAAATGTCATTAATGTGTCCATTGCACTCATTCTAAACATCCTCCAGGAGCAGCATGACTCTTACTATTTGCTTTTAGTATGGGAACCAGAAAGTGAACTTTCAAGTTTGTATTTGACTTTTGTAGTGGGGCAAAAGCTGTGGAATTGCTGCAGGTGGGCCCTAGGACTGTGTCTGAGCTACCATAAGCTCCTGGGGAGCCCTAAGAGGCTGCTAAACATCTGGGACTATCAGTAACATTGCAGTTCAGATCCTCTTGTTTCCCTGTCTTGCCTATG